CATAAAAACTCCCTGCACAGGGAGGAATTCACAGCTGGCCTAATTTGAATAACAGGCTGTAAATTGATTTCTCTTTTGGCTTGATATGTGAAAACAACGTCCATGTTGTTGGTGCAGAAAGCAGGCAGTTTGTTAAGAAAAGATACATGGTTTGGCTTCTCCAAATAAGGCTTAACACATGTGTGACACATCTTAATTTTAGTCAAGTTCTGAAGAAAACAAAGCAGAAAAAGTTTTTAAAGGAAAATAGAAATTCTTCTACATTCTGGAGAGCCCTTGTGCCACTGTAAGTCTGTAGCATCTACTTTGTGCCACCCATCTTGGATCACCGACCAGCACGTCACGATGAAGTTGTAGCACCTCGTGGCTGGAGGCTGAACCCAGGAGGGTTAAAAACAAAAGCAACTTCAGCTCTGTTATAAACATCTGCAGTTTCTAATTGACTTTAATTTCTTCACCTTTATGTATACCTACATTAAGGTTCTTAATGATATGATATATCTCCTAATTCTAATAATTACAAAGTTCAGAAAAAAATAGATTCAATTTGTAGGTTCAAAAACTTCTAGAAAACTTAACTGCAAAGTATGAATATTTAGTTACCATGTAGTGTAGTTGTCCATTCACAAAGAAAAATAATTCTGGAGGAGGTTGATTTGGTTCCATGAAACATAATGTAAGGGGTGACTTATAACTCTTAGTAAATGTTCTTTGGAAAACGCATGCACTTGTGTATATGCCCCTTTCCCAATTCCAAGAAGGCCATGTCATTTGTACATAGGAATGTGTCATTAATGTAACATCATTTTCTCTGATGCTCAGAGATTAAGATTCACTTTTGCTTAGGATTTCTGGCAAAACGTGTAGAAATCATAGCAACAGGCACGACAAGCACAAGCAGCTGATGGGTGTGGGGTGGGGAAAAAAGAAAGAAAGAAGAGGAATGTTAAGGTATAAAAATATTTATCCAGGGTAACGGAGCGTCAATAGAATTTTCTTTTCAATTAGATGTATACACATGTGAGGAATGGAATCCTTGGCCATTGGTTTATTCTTTGGAATAATGCCCCACCATTTCTATGACAACTTAGCCTGTTAAAAACAATAGTGATCACAATTTCTTCCAGCATGCCCTTTACTGCTATTGAGCCTGTAATCACATTGGAGTATTTTATGTAGGGGAGTGTGTGCACACATACTTGTGTGTCTTTGAACTGAAGTCAAGTTTCTCCAGGACAGAAGTTGCATGTTATATACCTTATATCCCTTAAAACTTCTGCCTTGGTGCAAAGCATTTGATGGAAATTCAATGAATCTTTGTCGAGTGAATGAAAATTATAAAAGATATTTTTGTTTGGCAAGCATGGGTACTGCTAGATTACTTTTATGTAGTCCATATAAATAATTTACTTCTTGTGGTTCCATATCCTGATGTGAAAATTATGCATTTACTGTGTTTTCATAGATATTAATGGGGACTATTAATAACTAGAAATTGTTTCTAGGTTGGTGGTCTTAGGCCTGGCACTGAATGAAAAAGACTTGAGATAAATTTTAATTGTAAAAAGAGTAAAAGTCTATGCATTGCTTTGTTAAAGTTTAGCAGTTTGTGAGAATGATCTTTTCCTGTTTCACAAAGAACAACAAAAGACACTAATTTTCTTTAATTTCAATATTTAATATAAAAAAGAAAATAGAAATATAAAGGGATAGAAACAACCAGTCTGTTGTCGTGACATTTTCCTTCCTTAATATCAAATGTTTTGTTTAAAAAGTATAGCTTAAAAGTGAAACTATAAATATGATGACTTAATTGAAAAATTTAAAGGACTATTATATTTATGCTTCGGGACATCAGGTTTAGTTACTATGAATCAAATGCCATTATATTTCTGTTGGGAAAACATTTTTAGAAGTTATTTAAAGAATTATAGAATGAAGCAAATCAAATCATTACTTACATTTTTGGGGGGAGGGCTCAGTGTATGGAAAATGTGCGGAAAAGGCTAATGTTTATGTATAATGATTTCATTATCATATTTCTCCTCTCTTTGTCATCCAGGGTAAACGCTAAGGACATGTCATGAATTCCTGAGCCACAATAAATCGTGACTGTCAGACACTGTGTGTGGGTAAAATGGATAATTTTCTGACCTTTGGTAAGCTTTCACTAGAGCAAAGGAAGTCCCTCAACATAATGTTTCCCCACTACAAAATACTGGCAGGAAGCCAAAGTATGCCCTTTGGCAAATCTCCAGTCTGGATGGCTTTCCTGTAGCTAGAAGACATTCATGAATCTGCCCAGAGCTGTGATTTTTTTTTTTTTTTTTTTTTTTTTTTTTTTTTTTTTTTTAGAAAGCCTTCTGGAAAGACCTTTCCAATGTGTAACCTGCTGAGGGAGATGTGAGAACACATTAATCATGGATTTCTTCAAAAGGAATTTGGAGCTGTCCTGCTCTCATTCAATAGGTCCATCTTCCTGCTCAGTGTGAGCTCAAGACTGTCACAAAAATGTTCGCAGACAACTCAGACATGGATCTAGGTAAAAATCAAATTGAAAATTTTCTGATTCTTGGAGGTGAGGTTTGGCCATGGTTGGCTTTACTTCTGAAGGACAAAATTGACAACAATGAAAATATGTGAGTAAATATATTGTTTAGTCTTGTTTTCCTAAGTTTCTCCAAAATCTAAAACTATTGCTGTCACTATTTATAATTAAACTCATATTCATCTTAAATCATCCTTAAATCATCTTAAATCATCCTAAAATAGAACCATCTTAGACAAGTAATACATAGTTAATTTAGTACTGATCAATCTTAGTAGTGAAATACATTTCCCTTTCACCTTTATTTTATCACTTCACCTGCTATCCATTGGTTTGACACTTTTTGGGAGTGGCAGAGGTTGAGTTGTTAGCTGTGCAGCAAACTTTCTGAAAGTTTTTCTTTTCTCAGATGGGTATTTAGAGCATAACCTATCTCCTCTCAACACAAAAAGGAAAAAAATTAAGGACCTCTCAGAAAGGCTTAGGCAATATTTAAGCCTTTGATGGGTTTATGACATTTCAGAATCACTTTGGTGGTGTAAACCAATACAATTGCTGAGTTGATTTCCACTATACTTAAGAATAATCCCCTAGTTTTTAAAAATGGCAGAACCAAATAAAAGACACTGAGATCCACAAATGAACTATTGGCCTAGAATAGACCCACTTCTGGAGAGAATAAAATAAAATGAAGAATCGTACTACATAATATAAGAGTGTTTTCTCTTCAGGCTCAGGTGCCTGGATTGTTGAGACTTGCTAGGAAATTTCTAGAAGCTGACTGTAAACCTACATTTTGGTGTTATCTCTCACCATTCCATAAATTCACTCCATCATCAAGTAATTGATACACTTGCTTTTCCTTTGTCCAATGTCATGCCCTCAGCTTTGAACATGGTTGTTAACTTTATCAGAGTCCAATTCATCCTTTGGAGCTCAGATAAAATGTACCATCTCCCTAAAACCTTCTGCTTCATTCCAGGTCTAAGAAAAACTCAACCCTCACAACTCTTGGGACACTTTGGGTGATTCCAATGGTAGGGATACATGCTGCCTTGCAAAATTATTATTTGTTTATATGACTTAAAACCAGAAGGCAAGTTTCTTGACACTAAAGACTATTTCCCATTTGTGTTTGTGTCCCTACAAAATTTAGTACAGATTGCTCAGCTAACATTTGTTAAGAGATTAAAATTTAAAATTCGTATTTTCTTGGTTTCTTTTTCAGATTGTTTGTTGTTGGCATATAGAAATACTACTGATTTTTGTATGTTACTTTTGTATCCTGCAACTTTACTGAATTTGTTTATCACTTCTGGAAGTTTTTTAGTGGCATCTTTAGGTTTTTCTAAATATAAATGCTGGCAATGAAATGATCAAATTCCTTCTCTAAACATAGGCAGTGCTATAGAGAATGTGAATTATGATCTTGTTTTGCTCCCTTTAATCACTATTCATTTGTTTACTCATGTTTTCAATAAGCATTTGATTGACTTTTAAGGACAATACTTGGTTAGTGGCCAAACAGCTTGACAATAAGTGGGAAAAGACTATAGTTAAAATTAAGATGTTAAATAGACTCTAAACATAAATATTGTTGATAACGTATTAACAAAGAGGTGAAGCAGGTACTATGCTCTGGCTTTTGCTAATTGCTTCTCACCTTACTCTATGACTCGTTGGCTGTTGGAGTTCCTTTCTCTTGGATACCCACTGTGCTGGATGCTGTGCTGTATAACACAGATGTCTCTTCAGGAATCAAGGACTCGTCACCTGGATGCTGATAGTGCCTTAAGCAGACACTCTCAGCTGTGAGCCTTCTTTAGATATTGTCATTCCTTCCCAGAACAGCCCCTGTCCAGTGCTTGATGCTGGAATATAAAGGCCTTTCTGTCTTAACCCCTGTTCAGGACAAAGCTAAGGATCCACCCATCTTCAGCCTTCCAGGCAGGGTTCTTCTACTGGGACTGCATTGCAGCTCTACTTCTCCCTCTACCCAGTCTTGCTTCTTCCCACCTCTTCTCTTCCTTTCCACAGTTGCTGCCCTCCGTGGTTCTCCCTAATAACCTCCTGCTAATCTCCGTCTCAGAGTCCACTTCCCCAGGCTGTTACTGTCGCTCCCAATGTGAACAGTCATTCTGCCAGATTCAGCCCTGTTGAACTCCTACCAGCCAGGCAAGATGCAACCATCCCCCAAACTGCAGATGGAGGCATGAAATGAGCAGCCAGGCAGGAATCAGAAACTCAGACCAGGAGCAGGCAAAGAAAGTACCAGGTGGCATCAATTATAAAGGAGCAACACTGGGATCAAGTAGGTAAAACAGGTGAGAATCAGGGGGTGGGGGTCCAGACTGTTACTGACAACATGGGGAAGAAAATGTGGCAACCATATTGGTAAGCAGTGTGGCTTTATAGCTATGAGGGACCTAAATGACAGGAAAATGATATATAAGGTGGCTGTATCTCTTTGTCATACTGGAACAGACTTTGTGATATTAACCAGCATTAATTCATGAGAGAAGAAGTGATTGGCAAGAAGGATGATGACCTGTGGGCTGAAGATATAAAACCAGATGCCTCTTGTGGCTATTTGCTTAAAGCCAGCAAGGTGTTTCCCCCTCAGAGAATCTGACTTCTTAAGGTAAAGAGTAACTGTAGTAGGACCTATAGGTCTTAGGCTGAGTCATGAGAAATTGCCAGTATTTGACTATATTCACCTATAAAAATGATAATTTCATGTAGTTCTATCTAATAATTTTAATTTATTTATTATCTATCTTACCCCGCTAGAATTAAAATATTATTTTGTTCAGTGCTGTGTCACAGTATACAGTATGGTGCCTAGCAGAGTAGGTACCCAATAAAAGTTTTCGATGAATTAGAGAAATGAATTACTTAGTCCCTAAATATTTTGGGGGCCATAATTTACTGTAATACTTAAGCCTCCTTCAGTTTTAAGTAACAGAATCTCAATATATATTAGTTAAGCAAAGAAGAGAATTTGTTGGCTCAATCAATTGGAAATTCCAAAGGTATTTTGTTTCAGGCACAGCTAGATCCAGGGGCTTGAATAATGATTTGGTCTCTTGCCATCATTTGACTGAATTTCTTCTGTGTTGGTGTTATCCTCAGGCAGGTTCTCTCAACTTGGTGATTCCTAGAGTCTCCAGGCTTACAGTCATTAGCTTAGCAAACCCCAGAGAAAATAAGAGTGCCCATTTCCCAATAGTTCAGATCAAAACTCCTGACCTTGACTTGCACTGAATCTACTTGGAGCATGTCTGAGGAGCAAAGGCAGGAGTTCAGGTCCACCTCAGTCAATGGGACTGGGAATGGGAGAGGTGGTGGTTCCCTGCAGGATGATCTTGAAGCTGTTACCAAAATAATGATTATAGTAATAGCTGACACTTAAACACTTATCTCCCGGGCACTATGCTAAAGGCAATCCTCTCAAAAACATTATGAGGCTGTAGTCCCCAACTCCCAGGCCACAGTACCAGTCCATGGCCTATTAGGAACCGGGCCACACAGCAAGAGGTGAGCAGCAGGGGAATGAGCAAAGCTTCCTCTGTATTTATGGCAGCTCCCCATCACTTGCATCACTGCATAAGCTCCGCCTCCTGTCAGATCAGTGGCGTCATTAGAGTTTCATAAGAGTGCAAACCCTATTGTAAACTGTGCATGTGAGGGATCTAGGTTGTGTGCTCCTCATGAGAATCTAATACCTGATGATCCAAGGTGGAGCTGAGGTGGTGATACTAGCTCTGGGGAGCAGCTGCAAATACAGATTATCATTAGCAGAGAGGTTTGACTGCACAATAAATGTAATGTGGTTGAATCATCCTGAACCATCCCACCCCCAGTCTATGAAAAAATGATTTTCCATGAACCGGTCCCTGGTGCCAAAAAGGTTGAGGCTGCTGCTATAAGGGAAGCACTATTATTATCTCTATTTCATACATGAGTAAACTTAAGTCTAGAGAGGTTAAATGACTTGCTCAAATTCACATAGCTTGGAAGGTAGAGCCAGAATTAAAACACAAACTGTCTAGCTTATTGCCTATTCCCTTAAACACTACATTCTGCTACCTGAAAAGGAGTTTGGGGTTAAAGGAAGACGTGGATGTCCACTCTACTTGGCTTATTCACTTACAGAGTCAATGGTTTGGTAGAATTTAATCCATGATGACACATGGAGAGTTATGGGGACAACAGTTCACCTGTTTTCAGAACATTGCCAGGGATTTCTTGGAGACACTGTCCCAGAAGTTGTTTTCTGGCTGCTCAGATAACAATTCCCCACAGCCATGGGTCCTCCTTTTTTGGTTTCCTCCTATATCCGTCTCCCTTGATAACTTCTACCAAATTAATTTGATTCTATTCAAAAACAATTTTTAGAGCATCTTCAATATACTCAAAGAACATTCTGTGGTTGTATAAAAACATTATTAAATTAAGTATCTGAGTTATTATATTTAGGTTCTTTGTAGCTTTGACATTACAGCAGGTTGGGTATATGTTTGAGTCATCAACTCTAGTTGATCCTTTGGATGCTGAAGTTGACTAGCTAATAAATGCCCTATATCCCTTTTCTCTCTTCAATTCCTTAACTGTCTTCTCGAGAGTAAGTTACTGAGGGTTCCTCTTAGCTCACTGTTCTGTTTTCCTGGGTCTCAAGGCTAGGAAAATGATGGACAGTGCTTGGTTGAACGGAGCTTCGGGGAACTAGAGAACACAGAGGCCTGAAAGTCAGTCCCCTTGTCTGGGGTGGATGGACCTATCTTTGGGGTAGAATGTCTTATCAGCTTTATTTCCTGTACAGTGAGAGTGGAATTAGATGAAGGATTTCAGTAAAGAGTCTTCCCAGTAAGGCTTCTGCCTGGCTGATCCATGCACTCATAGCTGTTAGACTGATGGTTGTAATTTCTGCTTCTCTCTGCACAGTTGTGCCTGTCTCCTTTCTGCAGATTAAGATGCTCTGTACCCTCTTAATGTTTGTTTTTTCATGACATTACCTCTCTCTTGCCCTGGTGCTGCCTCTGGGCCAGGCTTTCCATGGCTTGCCAGATGAGGTGCTTACCATGTCTAAGTAACTCCATCTCAGTGGGTTCAAAGACGTAAGACTCTTACTGGCTCATCCCAGATTATAGATGAATTCAATGTTGGATCAATGAACTTCCCTTGTCTTAGAAGCTGTGGCTAGAGAGCAGGATCATGTGGTACTAATGTAAACCTAGGATCACCCCTTCAGTAGGGGCTATGGGCAGAGAATGATTTCAGGGAAGAGCATAGATGTGCAGGAGTGGGGGTGGGATAGTGGGTGTGGGATGGAAAAGCATAGAAATGATAAGCCTGTCTGCTACATTCTCCAAAATTGTTGCTTGTTATAAAACAAAGTAATTTTTTCTGTGGTATATCCACAGGGAAAATTCAACAAGATCTGGTTTTCTTGTTGATGGTCTGTAAGTGACACTTAGTCCTGAAATTGATTTCTGAATTCTCCTAAACTCACTATGGTCACAGGGATTTTTACAATTAAAGGCAGTTTGTTTTCTGCTCTTTTGAAAATAGTAACCCGGGTATGCTATACAGATGGCTCTCCACTAATCAGAACTTTGGGTTATTCTCAATACCTCTTCAAGCTGCAAAGGAGATTTTCCTGCATTTAGTCATTGCATATAACTTCCTGAAATATTAAATTAAAAAATTAACATAAGAATAATCATTTTAAGTGTCAAGTCAACAGCCTTGGTATTAAAGAGGAGGGGACTGTGATCGGCAAAAGTTAAAAAGTCACTGGATATCAATGAGAACGTGAGAATACTCTTGTGCTGCAGATTGGCATACAGGCTAGCACGGACGTTCTGGAGAGCAAACTGTGAATCCATAGTAAAAATAAGTACGTGAATATGTAATAAAATAAGTATCCTGGGTCTTCCCCATGACCCAGTAGTCTAATTCTCAGAGTTATACCCAAGAGCAATTAATTCTTCCATTGACTAAAGAGGGTATATACGAGAATCTTTACAGCAATATTATGGTAACTAGTAGCTAAACTGGTGATAACCAGATGCCCCTCACTGGAAGTAATGGATAAGTAAAATGTTATATGCATTCTCTGTAATGATAGGATGGAGTTTCAAATAATAAACTAAATTCACATACAGAAGCATGGCTAGACCTTAATGAAAGTACTGAGTGAAAAAGTAACAAACAGAAGGAGAGTTTAGTGCAATTTTAATCATGTAAATTCGAAGCGGGTACTGCTCAAAACAACACACTAAATTCTTCAAGGACACATGGATATCCAGGGACATATAGTAACACATTAGAGGCACCGCCTGTGGGTGGGAGAGTAATGGGAGTGGGGCTGAAGAATGAAAAGGGAAAATAATCAAATAAAATGTAAAAAAAAAAAAAGAAAAAGAGAGAGAGAGTGAGAGACGGCTTTGCATAACCAGATGCTGATAGTGAGTCACAAACTGAGTAATATGACAATTCTCAACATTCTACACCTGAGGGCTAAAGAAGACACTCTAGGTGTGTAGGTTAGCAGAGAAACATGCTTATAACTGATGAGAAAGGTAGAAGCAGCAAAGCACCACTAAGCACCAGTACGTCTGATGCTAGATAATCTGAGATGGGGGTGACCTGGTTCTTGTACCTTATCTTCCAGCTGTCTGAGATAGAGGGAAAATGGAGGCCACTGAGAAGGTTGACTGCCCACTGGAGCGGTGATGGTAAGATATGGGAGAAATCAAAGTAAGTCCTGAGCTACAACCAAGCCTCTAGATGAAAACCAGCAGGAAGTGGCTCCAGTTCTGCCACCTGAGATTCTTTGGTTTTCTTATTACAGTAGTGAGATGGCCTAATCCAAGCTCTATCCCAGGCCCGTTAGTCTACCATTGTCCCTCTTGGAAGCTCATCTCTGATGAAAGTGTCCCGTGGAGAGATGGGACTCAGAAAGCACTAGCCCTCTTTCCACTTGTGGCCTGACTAAGGAAGCAGCCCGCCGCCTGCCATGACCCATGGCAAAGTGCACACAAGTTCTCGTCCCAGTTGCCTTCCTGTTAGAGGAGTCAAGCAAACACGCTTGCTCTAATCTTGTAAAAAAAATGCCTCCTTGGATTTCTAAGGAAATGTGATATGAAGAGATAACAGATAAAACTGGCACATTTAAAAATGCCATTTTTGGGTTGTTTAGTCATTCCTTCGGGTGATTAATTGTCCAGGATAATCTGAAAAAATAGGAAATAAGGTGGAATTACACTTTGTATAGGAATTATGTGAAAGTAAGCTGCTCAAACTACAAAAAGCAAGAACAGTTTGAAACAAAGTGCTCTTTTCATCAAATAATTTTTTAATCAGGAAAATACTGGAGCTTCCCCCCTCCCTTATTTCTCTTATAGTCCCACTTTCTCTCCAGGACTGTAACGTCTCTTGCCTAAGGAGACATGGGAATTTATTTTACATGCCAAAGCTTTAAGGATAATTAAAATCAATATTAACATGCGTCACCTCCTTTTCCGGTAGCCACAGCTCTAAGCTTCTCCCCAGAGGGGACAGTGTCCACCTCCCCCATCTGCAGCAATGGGTTTCCCTAGATTGTCAACGAGTTACACTCCATAGGTAGCATGGCTGTGGTACCCACACTGGAAAAAATGTCTTTTGAATCTCAATGCTAAACTGTATATCTTCGTTCTGCCCAATGAAGTAAGACCCTCATTAATTTTTCAGAACGTTTGAGTGCATTTTGTGCCCAGTGACAGAGGTGTTTTCTTCCATGGAATCAGCACTCGATGGCACATTGTAGAGTCCGTGGTCAGAAGGGCTGCTCTTTCCCTAAGGAAGATCCACCTCTCTATTGGTGATTACTGCAAAGGACCAGATGTTTTCCTTTAACCTCCTATTGGTTCTAATCTCCCTCAATCTTTGATCCCAGCCTCACTTGAAAGTAACCCTTCATTTAGCTCCTCTTGGGTGGTCCTCAGTGGAGATTTAGTTAATTCTAACTTCTTGTACAGTCTTTCCCCATGTGCTGCCATGGTAAAATTCTACCTTTCTAATTGCTAAGAGGAAAATTGTTAATCCTTTTGATTCAGAGAGCAGTGTAATAGCCTTAAAATTGGCAACTTAATTGAAAAACTCAGAAATTGCTGACTCCTTGGGGTAGTTCTTTAATAGCCTTTCCCTCCCAATTCTTTTCTTTTCTTTTTCAAAATAAAATAAAATGAAATTTGTTATTTAAAGTGGGCTTTCAAAAGACTATCTTCTTGTTATCTCTCTATTTCAAGATTCCATTTGGATTTAATGCATGGTCTCAGGTATTTTATTGGTTCTCACAGATCAGCTTACTGGGTTTTTATAGAAAATACTCACTGGAATACAGAAGGGACATGTGACATCAACTAATGGGAAATAGAAATTCTTTCCCTCCTTCCATTCCCATTATGTAAGAATAAACAAGTTAAATTGCTACTCTTAGATTCCAAGGGTTGTCTAGGCTACATATGTCAAATATCAGTGTGAGTTTGGAAGATTGAGTTATTCTGCATTATGACTGGTATATATTAGTATTCTCTTGACTTCATTATCAAAAGCTAACCAAACAGGCTAGTTTTTTGAAAGAGACCTCCAATTTTGCTTTGGGTTCATAAAAGCAAATTCCTTTAAAAAATTCTGGAAATAGAAAGGTTTCTGGGTTCTTGGCATATTCCATTGATCTTACTTATGAATAGAGAAAAGGTCAAGGATTTTGCTTATTTGTTTTCCATAGGCACTCTAAATTTTCAAAGATTTGGAGACTTTTAAGGGACTTTTAAGAGACACTTAATTTGTTACAGATGCATTAACATATTGAATTTATGTGAAAGACTGAAGGCCAGGCAAAGGATATTGGGTTCATTATTTATTAGTAGAGCTAGTCAAAACTTCCCTGTTTTAACCAAGTGGTGGTTTGGCCCCTATTCAAGAAGCCATCTCTTAATATTGCTGTCCCCACCAATTAATGTACACTGGGAGGGTGGCTGTGCCTCTCTTGTAGTCAACCATATTGGCCCCTGGACCATGTGGGTCTCTCTCTCCTCTCTCTAGACTGGACATGATGCTTCTGGGGAATTAGCTCAAAATATGTGCTACTCCTGCTTTCTACCCAAAATGAAGCTCATTAGTGAGTCCTAAAATTGTGTGGGGTCTGAGCTCCTCTCCCTCTCTAGTCTTCTTTCCCATCTTATCCCCCATGCTTTCTTTTCCTGGCACACAGGACTTTTTCCAGTGTTTCTAATTCACCACCCACCCTTCCCTTTTGTGGAAAACTTGCCCCTGATGGTCTCTTGGATGACTCCTGCTCAATCTTTGCCTCCTTTGCAAAGTCTTTCCTTCCTGATTGTGTCACATCACATATGATAAGCTCTTATATTACCGTGTCTTCACATCCTAGTTTCAATTTTACATTTATGTATGTTTTGTTTGTCTTTCTACTCCACTATTTTGAGAGCTCCATGAGATAGGTTGAGTTTTGTTCACTTATATGTCTCCAGTATGTAAGAACTTGCCTGGTAGTAAGTGTTCAATAAATATCTCTAAAATTAATGAATGAAAGAGTGAGTGAATGAATGAATGTATAACATTAGGTTTGCTTGACCTGCACCTGACACTTTCATGTGTCAAGTCAATGTTTTTATTCTTAGGCCCGTAATTTCAGGTGTCTCTGCATCTCTTCTCTTGGATTATTAAATTTCTAGAGGGTAAAGACTGGCTCTTATGTTTCTCCTGTCCAGTTCTCACTGCAGTCTTACACAGAGACAAGAGTCAGAACCACATCTTTCAGGTTGGAGAACAGAGAACACAATAACATGTGCCCCTCTTCTTTCTAAACAGCTGGAATATATTTAAATTGAAGAACTGGAGAAGAAGTAGAGATGGCCCCACAAGGCAAAGGCAGCCTGAAAGGTATGTAGAGAAGGCATGCAACATGTGGACCCTACTGAATGACCCATCTGAATCTCAAGGTCGAGTTAGTGCCTAAAAAGCCTTTGGATTTCTCTGAGCACCAGCCTGTAGTGGCCACTTTCATGCATGAGCCCCCTGAGGGAGAACATATGCCCTGCCTGCATTGGAATCCTAATAGAACTATGAAAATCATATGGCAAGAGCCATGCAATTTGCGAAGCATAAGCAGTATGTTCTACAATGATATAAGTCAAAATGGAAAATTAAACTTTACCATGGCAACTTCCACTTACCTCTCCTTCTCTTTATCCCCCCAAATTTAGTCTTATTGAGCATCTGCCCCATGGTAAGTTTTCAGAGTTACCTCACAGTTCTGAGGCCCTCAGGGTGGACCTTAGAGGCCCTGACCACACAGGCTGGCCCAAAGGACAGCCGCCGATGGTGCTCATTAGTGACTCCCATTTAGATAATTGCCCATATCCCTGGAGTTTCCTATCGGGTTAGGTTTGGCCGAATCCAGAGTTTCTTGTTCAAATTGATCTTCACTCTAGGAATAGACACCAGAATCCAGTACTAAAACTACTTTTATAAACTTTCCCCATTTATCTTTGCTATTGTTATGTTTTAATGATTTAAAAAAAATTATTTTCTTGGATGATTTAACATAAGAATCCAATTTTACTGTCTTCTGCCCACATTTCTGTGTAGAATTTTTACTGCTGTATTGAAGGAGACAAACTTAACCTTTTTTAATAAGAAAAGTTCATCTTCCTGCTGGTGATTACCAAGGGGAAAACATATAATTTATCAAGCTATTTCTTCTCTACTTTACCCATTGCTTGCCAAATTTAGAAACAAAAATTGGAAAATCTCACACTTTCCAAATGAGTCCCTGTGGTAAACAGAACCTTAGCCCTTTTTTTTTTCTTTTTCCTTTCTTTTCTTTTTTTTTTTTTTACCACACTACATATGATAGTGCTTTTAAAAGCATTTAAACATAGGTAATAATGTGTGTCAAAGACTGGAACTATTGATTTATAAAGTTAGGTGTGAGTAAAATCTAAAGATAAATAGTGGATCATTAAAAAGTGAAATAATATTATTTTGATTCATACTTGACAATTTTTCGAAAGAATGTTAAGCTCTTACATAAATATATGGCCTCCCCAGCTGTTCAAATAGTATGATTAATTAAATGGATTCTGTCTGAAAACCAACACTAGCTCTTGTTCTCAAATTGCAAATATGTCCAATGTAAAGGAAAATGGAAAAGCATTCCTCTGGTATCTACTGCATTTGAGGTAAAGAATTAATATTGTTGAAATTCCAAAGTATTCCTTAGATGTATGTATGTATGTGTTTGTGGTATGTGTGTGTGTCTGTATGTGTGGTTGTGTCTGTGTGTGTGTGTATATATATATCTTTTAATGGCAGGAAATTTCATTTATCCACTATTGGGCAATTTCATCTATCCAGAATAAAGCCAACAACCTGTTAAAAGTCAACAAAAAAGAATTCTTAGTCTTTTAGCCCAGACAGAGGTGATCAAAGTCTACTCACTACAGCTCATGCACTTAAATATAGAAAGAAAAAACCCATAGACCTTCAGTTAGAATATTATTGTTTTTATTTTAGTACAAGTTGACTTGTCTGGAGGGTACAAAGCATGAAGAGGTTTTTGAGACAAATTGCAGTGGTTGATTGACACTGGAAAGTAGGAAATCAAAGAAAGTTACTAAGTAGGAAAGAGACATTATTAGACATGTTGTTTAGGAAAATTAATCTGAAGTGTGTAGAATATATTGCAGAGGCTGGAAATCAAAGGCTGTAATCAGACTATTACATTAGTCCAGACCCTATGGCATTAGTCCATGAGCAGTAATAAGGTTCTGAACAAGAGTATGGAGAGAAAAGTAAAGTCTGAAGAGACAAAGAAGCAGTAGAATAACAAGGAGTTGGGAATTATTTGGGTTCGGAGACAAAGAAGGAGAAAAATCAAAGACATCTTTAAAAAATTCGAGTCTAGGCCGGGCGCGGTGGCTCACGCCTGTAATCCTAGCACTTTGGGAGGCCGAGGCGGGCGGATTGTTCAAGGTCAGGAGTTCGAAACCAGCCTGAGCGAGACCCCGTCTCTACCAAACATAGAAAGAAATTAATTGACCAACTAAAAATATATATACAAAAAATTAGCCGGGCATGGTGGCGCATGCCTGTAGTCCCAGCTACTCGGGAGGCTGAGGCAGTAGGATCGCTGAGCCCAGGAGATTGAGGTTGCTGTGAGCCAGGCTGATGCCACGGCACTCACTCTAGCCTGGGCAACAAAGTGAGACTCTGTCTCAAAAAAAAAAAAAAAAAAAAATTCGAGTCTATAAAATCATAGTGCTTCTGGCTGAATTAGGAAACACAGGAGGAGGAACAGGTTTGGGTGGGGGTGGAGGTGGATGGTCAATTCAAGTCTGCAATTTGAAATGCATGTAGGATATCCAAGAGATGTCAAATAGGGGATACAAATGCAGAGTTGGATTAGCTCTAGAACCAGGCACGAAAGCAAAACTCATAATAGCTAATATTTACTGAGTACTTAGAAAGTGTGAGGCACTCTCCAAAACATTTTTCATATATTAAAGCATTACTGTTTTTAGTTCATTTTAAAAATTCATTTTTAATTACCTAAAAAGTGTAAAAGTAAAATATAATCATTATAAAAATTTAAACCGTAGGTAAGCATGAAAACCCAAAATAAAGACAAGGGATGGTAAGTTATGTAAACAACTTGGTTTTATTTTAAAATAATGTTTATGGACGATTAGAATCAATTGGAAAGATGCTTCAAGAGGAAGTTAACAGCTTTATAGAAAAGGAGAAAACATCAAAACTACAAGAAGTAGAAAAAAAGAACTAAGACAAACAAATACACCACCACCAACAATAAAACACCATAAACCCGTAGCAATCTTGGCTTCCCTAGGACAGAAGCAGTCTTTCTCACTTGAGTAAGATCTGGGGAATCTCACTCAAATATCCCAGTAGATAACTGATATTAAAATAATATCAAGAAAAAGGTTAATTGATTTTTTATGTAATCTTTTAGGAAAATGGAAAAGTCTAGATTCTATAGTCCTCTAAAACAAAAATCAATGGATCAATGAATTAAACTGTCATGTAATCAATAAAGTCACAAGACCGCATGAATTATTCCATACCGGTTCCATGATGTTGTGTATTTTTTTGTCACATTTGTAACAAGCTAGGTGGCAGCCGTTTCTTTTCAGGCAAGCAGGATCTGGACCTCAGTTGAAATTCTACTAGTGGGGACTAGTAATGGAGTGGGTGTGGTTTTTCTGTACTTTGAGGGCTCTAATTAAAGGGAAATTAGAAACAAAGTCGGAGATGAGAGCTGGGGTGGGCCCAGGAAGTAAGGGAAGTTCCAAAGCATCTAGTCCAAGGGTAATGGATGAAAAAACAAAAACCAGATTTACAGCAATGGATATCAGAGAACTGCAGGCAAGGTGGAGTAATGGGTTTAAGAGCAGGGACCAATACAATTCCCAGAAGCAATGGGATGTTACGTGACTTTTCTAGGATAACCAAAATCAAGCATAAAGGCAAGGAGGGAATAACATGGGGATCAATTCTCTAAGCGTAGAAATAGAAGTTTGTCCAATAAATACAAATGAAAGAATCCAAAGAGTTTACAAGGAAGTCTGGAGAAATATTTGGAAGGCAAGAAGCAGGATAAATTAATATATGTATATATATACATATGTATATATACACACACATATACACATAACATAAATGTATACATATATTAAATGTATACATATATGCCTATTATATACATTAGGATATAAAATAGAATATAAGGAGTTGCCACTATTCATTATTTACCTTCACTAATGATCAAACAGAAAGAAGAAAAGAGCTCAATGTTTTAAAAACAGCTTTATTGATGTATAATTGATATGAAATGTACATATTTAATGTGGACAATTTGATGAGTTTGAACATATACAAGCACCCACGATACTAATGTCACATTTAAAGTTATAGACATTTCCACCACCTCCCAAAGTTTCCTTGTGTCCCTTTGTTTTGTTTAGTTTTGTTTCAGTAAGAATACTTAACTTGAGACATACACTCTTAACAAATTTTGAAATGTAAAATACCATACCGTCAACTACAGGCACTATGTTGTACAGCAGACTCTAGAATATTTGTCTAGTGTAACTGAAACTTTACACCCAATGAACAGTAATTCCTCATTTCTCCTACTTACCCAGTCCCTGGCAACCATTGTTGAATACTCTGCTTCTGTGAGTTTGACTATTATAGATACTTCATATAAGTGAAATCCTACAACTCAATGGCAAAATAAACCACATTCAAAAATGTGCAAATGACTTGAGTAGACATATCTCCAAAGAAGACAGACAAATGGCCAGCAGATATATGAAAAGGTGCTCAACATCTTAATTGTTAGGAAAATGAAATGCAAATTAAAACTATAATGAGGTATTACCTCACACCTGTTAGGATGGCTATTATAAAAAAACAAAAGATAACAAGTGTTGTTGAGGATGTGGAGTAATGAAATGCTTGTGCACTGTTGATGGGAATGTGCAGCAGCTATGGAAAATAGTATGGTAGTTCCTGAAAAAATTTAAGCATGGAAATAACATATGATCCAGCAATTCCACTTCTGGGTATATATTTAAAAGAATTGAAATCAGGATACCCCTCCAAATTGTAAACTTTAGATTCATTCATTCAGTGGTTGCCAGTGTTGGTGGGTGTAGAATTCTCTTTACTAATGGTCAGTACAAGATCTCAGCAGGGTGGTGCTGTGTGAACAGCCATGTATAATCTGTGTGGGTGCAAAAGTAGGACTAAATACATGAAGGCAAGTATGGAATTAGTCAGAACCATGCTGGAAAGTGTTAGACAAATCCCCTATAAGAAATAAAAATCAGCATGATTCACTGAGCATTTATTAAATGCTTAA